CGCTTACTCTTGGGCTGGACCCTTCTCAACAATGCTCGACAGAAATGTCACAGTGCGGTTAACGTACTAACACACACACGATAACTCCCAATGATCTAACGTGGTTGCGAGTTCCTCTGAAGCGTGACGTTCCTTACAATTCAGTTCCTTTTCGCTTTTCAGGCGGCTAGTTGGTAGACGATTCGCCCTCACCGTACCGAACAATGAAATTCCATCTTGTGATAGTGACCTGTGATAATGTGGACGCATTCATTGCGCTGCCGGGCTACACCTTCACCACATAACACATATATCCCCTCCTGCACAATTTCCTACTATCTGCAACATGATAAATGCAAGTTTGCGATGCTCAGCCGCAGTTGCGGAGAAAATTGAATAAACGAAGCTCGAAGGCTACGCAATACATATATTTGTTTTGTGTTTTACTCAACAGATGGGACCAAGATACTAATTTTGGGTTTCAAGCTCATACTGTGCCAAATTTGGCACGCAGTGATTTCGGTTTCCCTGATGTAGTTGCGGAGAAACTGCAGAGAACTAATAATGCGCTCGAGTTTATGAGACCATAAAGTAATCTAAAATATTTTTTCTATGTTTGTGAGGTGAAAGTGTTCACAGAAAAAAAATAACGATTTCTTGTGTTTGTTCCCTTTGAGTTGCATGTCGCATCCTAAAATGCACTTGCCTCTGTTTTGCTTATTGCTCAAGAGATATGGAATTAGCTGACCATCATAAATGTGCATAACTTTGAGAATTACTCCGATGGTATCACATTCCCAAGTGGGCAGTCCACACCCACAAAATAATATGGCAAACGGTATGTGCCAAATATGCGACGCCATGCAATAGAGGGTTATATCGGCATAAGAGTTATGACTACCGTTCCCGGTTTGATTTAAATCCTGTTTCTAAAAGTGCGACATACAATTTGTTGAATGAGTGGCAGGGAAGGTTAAGGTGAGTTCGAGACTGATTTCGCGTGGGCTCTTTGATTATTGAAACGAATCCTAAAGAGTGTTTCTGTTTGTCCGGCGTATTGCATGCCACACACGATGCATTCAAGTAGATATACCACATTAGAGGAATCGTATCTTAGATTTTCTTGTATGTTAGTTGAAAACGTGGATTGTGTGATGATTGCCTTGCTTGTACCTTGCATTGCTTTCCATACAAGACATTGAGGCTTTAGACAAGGTCGGTATGAACTGTTAGAAGTTGAAGTATTGATTTCGGAGTTCACAAGTGTGTTTTTGAGATTGCGTGTTCGTTGGTAAATGGCACCAGGAGCTGATGGGAATGCGCCTTTCAGACGTACACTTTGTTGCAGTATGTTGTATAGTTGTTTAAAGGTTTTGTTAATGTTGGGGAAGTTCGTGCTGTAAGTTAAATACAGGTGTGTCTTTTGCAGGTTGTGTTGTGGTGGCCGCTTCATAAGAAGGTCATCACATTTCAGTTTGCCAGCTTTTTTAATAGCGTCAACAATCATATGCAGATCTGTTTATCGAGCATGAGTTTTAGCCTTTGTGAGCTCGCGTGGAATTCTTTGTCTTTTGAGCAAATTCGCTTAAAACTTGTTATAAAGTCGCCGCGGGAGTCGCGAAATGCCCCGGGAAAAGTAAAATTTCCTCAAACTTCGCGTGTGCGCTGCCGGCGAAGCAGCCAGTTGATTGCTGCCGTCTTGAGCTCATCTTTAAGCTGATTTCATCGTGCATATTTCGCCGCCCTTCAAAATAGTGTCGCATGAACGGAATGGCTGCCCTTTCCCCTTTTGTGATGCCTCTTTCCCAATCACTCATTGCCCAAAGCGCGCACGCTCCAGGCAAGCCCTCCGTCTCTCGCTTCTTGTTGACTGACGCGACCAAGGTGGGTGGGATTTTTTTTTTCTGGTTGTTGTTTGTCGGCTGCTGGCTCCCCTCTCACGCGTGTGTCCATCTGCCTCTCGCTCAGTCTCAACGAACGACGCAACGACTTTGCGTCTTTTTGCCGGCATGACTGGTGACGCTCGTCTAAAGAAGACACATCAAGCGTACGGCAAGAAAGGAAGGCTTCCATGGAACGCGCCGCAGAAGAAAGCCGACAACGTGCGGCCGAGTTCGCCCGATGTGGCCAAAACGCTGCATTCCGACGACGACGTGCAGCCGTGGGCACCTGTTGTGTCTGAAACGGTGCACTCTTTGGAGCTCAGCTGCTGTATCGCCTCGAATTGTCTCATGGTCGGATCATCTTGAACTTCCAGTAACAACTAAGACTGCATCAACACGGCATTTTATTCCGAGGGCGAGTTCGCTGAGTCCGCCCGGAATGTGGCGAGCTTGAAGGCATTCCTCGCATCGGAGTGCGCGACGGAACGCAAGTTCGAGCTACTAGATATTAATCTGGAGAATGAGGGGGAAAAATGGGGCAGAATTTGGCATTGTTGATCTGGTGGTGATAGATTTGTTGTTTCGGCTTGTTGCTTGTCCCGAGTGTGGGGAAAAAAGCCTGACTTTTTCGAAGGGCAGAGAGAGAGAACAGGTTGTGTTCAAAGCTTGTCGTCACGTGCAGCAGCTGTGACTTTCGCGAAGAGTGGTTTTCATCCCCACGTGTAGCCAATGAGACCGACGCCAAAATAAGGCCATTCGAAGTGAATTTGCATGCCATGAAGGCCATCAATAGCATCGGCAAGAGGGTAACGGCTCTGTCAAACTTCTTTGCCGTGATGAACATTTCGCATCGGGGGCTCCACCACAAGACCTATCAAAGCCACATGACTTTAATGAAGGAAGTGTGCAGTGCGATAGCTGCCGAGTGCGAAGCAGCGAGCGTTGCTTGCGTCAAAAGCTTCTGTTCAGAGTTCGGCAACGTGCCCGGCAACATGGACATTGTATATGACAGCACTTGGCTCACGTGCGGACATAGCTTGGATATATGCGTTGGCTGAATTATTTAAATGTACAGTGGTCTCGTTATAGACCATATCGTACTGTCGAACTTTTGCCTAGCTTGCACCACCTGACTCAAGTAAGGAGAGGCAGGATGTTCTGCCTGACTCATTCAGCACGCACCTCTCTGCCAGAAGAATGTCGACTGCAATGTTGGCCATATGGAAGTAAAGGCAGCGCAATGCTTGTTTGGGCAGTCACTTGAGAAGCATAAGCATCGGTACACGATTATGATCTCGAATGGTGACAGTGGAAAATTCCATGCACTCACAGAAAATAAAGTCTACAGTTACATCAAGGTAACCAAAAAGGACTGCATTAATCATCTGCACAAGCGTATGGGAGCTACCCTATGTACACTTGTAGAAAAAAAAAAAAAAAAGCTCAAGGTGGCTCGCTGGGTGGTAAGGGCAGGCTCACGCGACAAATATCAAGATCACCTCTTACTACGGTTATGCATTGAGAAGCCACAGGAATGACCTTCTAGGCATGCAGAGAGCTGTGCTTGCAACATTGAAGCACGTGTCATCTACTGATAAAGCACCCAAGCATGACCTCTGCCCTGAAGGCCCAGACTCTTGGTGCAAGTACCAGGGAGCTGTGGCGAAATATGAGGAGACCTCACCTTACAAGGACAGTTGCCTGATTTTGTGAGCGAGGCACTGGGGCCTGTGTTCAGGCGACTAAGTGATGGCGCGTTCCTGGAAAGGTGCAATGATAGGATCACTCAGAATCCAAGTGAATGCCTGCACTCTGTGATTTGGCAGCAGGCCCCTAAAACCCAGCATGCACCCTTGCGGAGCATAGGGAGGGCTATTGCAGAAGCCACCAGTCTCTTCAACCAATGCATCACGAAGAGCAATATAGAAATTGCTGAGAAACTGGGCTGCAGTGCAGGCTACAATCTGGTTCGTCACAGCCTTGAAAAAGACAAAAACGAGCTGCGAAAATCTCAGCGAAAGCATCACGGCAGCAACACAACCAAGACAACACTTGCGAAGCATGACAAGCCAACAAAGAACCCTGCTTACAGCCCTGGTCTGCTGTAGAACTTTCCTCGTGCTAATGGTGACAATTCTTGGAAAATAAATATTGTGTGTTTTCAACCTGAGCACTGTGTATGTTTATTGTATATGCAAGGGCAACAGTAATGTTCAATGTTCGTGCATTCCTTTCACTTGCAACTCACTGAACTGACCAAAAAGTAAGATGCAGCAATGACCATGTCAAATTTGGAACAAGCTGTCAAGTGTCATTTATATTGCTCTAGCTTCACTTTAGCAAGTCACAGTTGCTGGAAACTTTGGATGCGTTTTTCTCAGTTCGTTGTTTTTGCACATTTTACTCAGCTTAATGGGAGTTTTTCCTATGTTATACTTCAGTGAGAGTGGCAAAATTTGTATCATTTTATTCATCTTCAAATGGCCCAGGGGGTGATGCTATTTTGATTTTTCTAGAACCAGTTTAAGAATTACAATCAAAAATGATCATAAGAGGAAATTAGAGTAAAATATTCATTACAAGTGTGTGTCCATTTTCCTGCCTACGAAATGCCTTCAAATGGAAAAAATAGCATCACCCCCCACAGCAAGTCTTCAGCATTGGGGTTATGCATTTACTTTTTCATTTTCTTGAGGTGAAATTGCCAAAAATTTCCATAAGAGATGGGCAGTTCATTAAAATTAAAACAATAATATTTCTTGACCCACTCGAGCTATCAAAAACAAATTGCAGATTTGAAATCAGCATGAAAAACTACCTCATATAGCGGGGTTTAGTTGAGGTTGAGCCAGAAATTAAAAAAAGTTTTTAGGAGCCACGTTCCCCTTTAAAGGCATAGATTAAGAGTCCCAGAATTTTTTCTATGAATTCTAAGTATTTCGAGCCTATATCTTTTCCTGAACATGTGTTAGTTGGGTTTCTAACAGACAATGTCGTCTTTTGAAAATTTGCAAAAATAGCTTTGAAAGTCCTTGAAAGCCCTTGAATTTTCATCATGTAAACGAGCATGAACCCTGTCCTCATAGGCACAAGAAAAGGGAGCAGCATAACGCACATGCTGGTTTTGACTCTGAGCAGGTTTGCTGAACTGGAGCACTTTGAAGAGATGCCTTTTGAGGGCTGCGATGTTGTCCTAGACCGGCCGACTGTCCTCATGAAGCTCGATGCAAGTAAGCCCACACAATCATCCAATTTAATATTTATCTATCAAGAGCCTCTGAATGAAATCTCACGAGTGCCTAGTTCACAGTTATAGGTTCATCATCATCACCAGCAGCCTGATTTGCGCACTGCAGGGCGAAGGCCTCTCCCATGATCTGCCAACTAACCCGGTCTTCTGTTTTTTGCTGCCATGTTATACCTGCGAGCTTTTTGATTTCATTGGCCCACCTAACTTTCTTTTCCCCCCTCATGCATTCGGCTTCTGTGAGAATCCATTCAGCTACGGTTAATGACAAGCGGTTATCCTGGCTACGTGCTACGTGCCAGGCTCATGTCCATTTTTTCTTCTTGATTTCAACTATAATACTTTTAAAGGGGTACTGACACAAAATCTCAGGACCGAGATAGCCTGCGAGTCAATTTCCGTGTACATTCGTATATTATCTGAAAAATATCAACAGCAAATTTAGCTGGGAAGGTATCTTAAGTTAATTTTGAAGTTTGCGTGAGCACTCGTTTCCATCATGACATTGACACTCTCGAAGGGGGGGGGGGGGGACATTGGGGACCCCTTACTTCCCTCATGTCCTTCGTGTCACTAGGCTGCAGTCAATTAAACAAGTTATGATGACGCCATAGTTGCCATTTTTTTTAGCCGCGTTTGTTCGCTCAATCTATACCTTTTGGCGGCTGGTCGCGAGTGCATGATCGTGGTGCATCCTTTGAAAACTTTGCGTTTGGTGACACTGCAGTCCCTTTTCATGTTCAAAAGTAATTCTTCATGCCGACTGTACGGAACTGTGGCACAGTTTTGTGTGCTGACGTGGTCGGGAGCTGCGCACGCTAGATGGCGATAGTTGCACCCGGCGGCTTCTTGTTTTTAGAGCTCTCTCAAACCTAAACTGTTACTGATTTATAATGAGGGGCCTGTAATTAATTATCAGTCGGTGCTGCAGCAAATTATGTGTCATGTTTTGACTAACAGGCCCCAAACACATTACAGCAGAAAAACATGAGGCCAAAGTTGTTGTGTCAGCATCCCGTTAACCCCTGTTTGTTCCCTCAACCACTCTGCCCTATTCTTGTCTTTTAAAGTCACACCTATCATTTTCCTTTTCACCACTCGCTACGTCATACTCAGTTTAAGCTGAACCCTCTTTGTAAGCCTCCAGGTTTCTGCTCCGTAAGTAAGTACCGGCAAGATGCAGCTATTATATGCCTTCTTTTCGACGGTATGTGACAGATTACCATTCATGATTCGAGAATGTTTGCCGAATGTGATCCACCTCATTCTTGTTCTTCTAGTTGTTTCTCCCTCATAGTTCGGCTCTACGGTTAACTACCTCTCTTAAGTAGACATATTCCTTTACAACTCGCAGGGTCTTTCCACCTATCGCAAAGTGCTCTTTTCTGCCGAGACTGTTGCACATTACTTTAGTTTTGTACAAATTGTTTTCCAGACCTACTCTTCTGCTTTCCATGTCCAGTTCAGTAACCATGAGCTGCAGTTAGTCCCCTGAGTTACTCATCAATGCAATGTCATCTGCAAATTGCAATTCACTAAGATACTCTTTGTTAACTTTTATCCTTAACTCTTCTCAATCTAGGGCGCTGAAAACCTCCTGTAAATATGCGGTGAATAGTATTGGAGAGATCGTGTCTTCCTGCCTTTGATGATGGTAGTAAGATTATCATTCAGTGTGTCAATGCTAATGCCGGTTACCTTGTTTAGAGCCTCGAACTCATTCCAAAATAAACCTGAATTCTTGTACTTTTTTTCTCACTGGTAGCTCAATAATTGGCTTTTTGCGTATCAGTTTATGCCTTTGCTTTTTTAGGTCTAGGTGAATTTGAGCTCTTACCATTCTATGGTCACTGCATCGGATCTTGCCAACTGCTTCTACATCTTGTACGATGCCTGGGTATGCACACAGAATAAAGTCTGTTTTATTTTTAATTTCGCCATTTGAACTTTGCCACATCCACTTATGGTTAGCACGCTTTGTGAAGAAGGTATTCAAGATCCGTAAAATATTAAGTTCTGCGAACTATACAGAGTTACTCTCCTCTCGCATTTCTAAAGCTATGCCATATCCATTTCTAAAGCTATGCCCCCCACTGCATGGCCTCCGGCCTGTTTCTTGCCCACTTTGGCATTAAAGACGCCGATCAAAATAGTACAGTGTCTTTACTTTATTAATGGATGACTATACATCTTCATAAAAGCATGCAACGAAATGATCATCATGGCTCGATGTAGGCACGTAGGCCTGTGTCACCGTTATTTTGTACATTTTGTTTAACTAGATTATGATACTTGCCACCCTCTCACCAACGTGCTATAGTGTTCCTCTATGTTCCCAGTGATATTCTTGTGTATAAGAAAGCACACTCCTAGTTTCTTTCTGTCAACTAATTCACGATAGCATGGGATGTGTCCGTTCTTCAGCACTGTATAAGCCTCACGTGTCCTCCGCACTTCGATGAGCCCTATTACATCCAATTGAATACCCTCTAATTTCTGGAATAGGACAGCTAGACTAGCCTCACTAGGTAGTGTTCTAGCATTGAAGGCAGCCAAGATCAGATTCAAATCGCGGCCTGTTCGTACCCAGATATTCTTAGCACCCTTCACTGCGTCGCAGGTCTGACCACCGCCTTGGACAATTGCTTCGCAGCCGCTGGGGACTGAGGGCCAATGGTTGATTGGTACTTTTATAAGGGAGCTAGTGGCCAAGTACTGCACTAGGGTGGCCAATCCTGCTCTGGTGAGGGAGTGCATTACTGGCAGGTGGTCGCCAGTAAGGCAGCATGCCACACTTTTTATTTTTTACGTTTTTAATGACTTCTTTATGATATATTTCAAGTAAATATACGATTGGGAGTGGTCCGGCATCAACAGAATTTTGTCATTGCACGCTAGGCTGTTGCGCTATCTCTGTAGTCCTGTAGTCCTCTGAAGTCCTGTAGCACTCTAGAATACCAGCTGACAGCTTAGCAGCTCTCAACTTCACATGACTCATAGCTCGCTTGGCCTTTTACCTAACTGTTTGAAAGTCTATATTTCCATTAAAAAAAAAAACGCCATGGTTTTGACTTTTTGACCTTGTGAGCTTAGGCCGGCTTAGTGCCCTGGATAACCCTTCTTCTCAAGCGTTTTTTTTTTCCCCTAACTTCTTCCTGTCCCGCTCACTTTTGTTTTGACATGTTTGCTTCAAAGTGTTTGCAATGTCGGAGTTCAGCTGATTTCGAGTGGTCACACTACAAGATTTGACGTCTCCTGTAAACTGTCGAGTTATGCACTCCTGTTTTGTGAACTATTCGGCTATGTGTCTGTTTCGTTGAGCGTATGCTTCGTGAGCGGTTGGAGTGCATAAAAAGTAAACGGGAAAAGTTTATAACTGCTAAAGAATGGACTGGCGCTGTCTTTAGGGCTGTGTCCTAATTCATTGGCATTTCGGAATAGTAGGTAAAACTCTGGTAAATAGATATAGTGGTGGTCCTCAGTCGGGAGTCAGATATACGTAGTAGTAATTACATATACGGCAAGCCTAATAACATAGAATAGTCAATGAAAATGGAAAGAGCAAATTATTTCTAATTCTAGAGAGCAGAGAAAGGCAAGGAACTTCGTACGAAGGTAATGACATGTTTGCATCACTCACCACATAGCATCAGCTTGAATTGATCGACCCCGATGACTCTCAGCACCGCACACATACACAACGATGAGTCCACGCAACACGTGCAGCTTGTAAGTGCTTCTAAGAGCCCTCATAGTCTTACATTTGGTGAATGCAACTGGTGCCAGTGGGTGGCTATGTTTTAGGATACATATTTTACTTTTGCTTTTTTGTATAGACAGTGTACAAATATATTAAGTACTGAAGGTAACAGGGGGTAAGACTTTTAAATAAATATTAACCCAAAGAATATGTTATCTCTACTTTGCATATACCACCTCAACATGACATATAAAATACACAAGACTCAAGAGTAGCATATACTAACCTTCATAACAGATCCCCGTGCTAGTAATAGCTTGTTAGACACTCATAATAATGACATCTAAGATTTGTTAGACAGATTCGTTGAAAGGTGACAAGCCGTCAGCGTCTCGGAGAAGACGAAGAAGTTGTGCCGCAGCTGCTCCGTGTGTTCGAGCCAGCGCGAGAGAAGGCGCCAGCAAGAACGACAGCATCTGTGGACGTCCATGCCAGAGCAGAGATAAATTAAATGCATAGGAAACCAAATGCCCCACGTCTTCCTACAAGTGGTGACTCTGACTTCGAGCGGCAACGTACTCCTACTCGTCTTTTCGTCAACCCATCGAGCGTCACGGCACACTCTGCTTCTTCGGCCCCGTTTATTTCGGCTGACCATGGACACCAAACCCAACAGCGGTGCCACGCCGAATCCTATGGTACCTGACCCTGTCGTCGCTACCCTCAGGCTCCTGGAGTATTGGCAGGCGGACCCTGAACTCTGGTTTCTGAGCGTCGAGCCACACTTCCGACGACACCGGGTAATGTTGCAAACAGCGAGCTACGATTACGTCATCGTTGCTTTACCGCCTGCTGTCATCGCCATCGTAAGAGACAATCGGCATTCTCCACTTCATAACAATCCCTACAACACCCTTAAATAAGAGCTCATACGCCAGACAACTGAGTCAGAACAGCGTAGGCTGCAGTAGCTACTCACTTCGAAAGAATCCGGTGACCGAACGCCTACGGAGCTCCTGCGTCGCATGCGACACCTGATTGGGGACCACTCTGCTGCATTGGACGCATCCATCCTATGCGAACTCGTATTACAGTGACTACCACAACAGGTGCAGATGATTTTGCGCATATCATCTACAGAAACCCTCAACTCACTAGCGCGAATGGCCGATAAGATTATGGATTTCGGTGTCTTGTCTATATCTGGGATCGAGACACCATGTAAATCTACCTTTTCTGTGCCAGTCCGCGATGACCGCTTGGACCACCTTCTTCAAGCTAAC